CACTATCAAGGGCTTGAAGCACAGAGGAGTTGTGATCCCCACCACATTCTCATTTAACTCACTTTTTGGCCAATGCAAAAATTGAATGGCTCTTAGAGAATGACAGTGGATTCTCATAAACTTGACCAGGTGATGACTCCAATTGCAGCTGCTATTCCAGATGTGATTTCATTGCTTGAGCAAATTTCTACAGCTCCTGGTACCTGACATGCAGTCATTAATCGAGCTAATATCCTTCTCTCAATTCCTGTTTCAAAGGGTCACCAGGAACAGTTTGTCTTCAGCTGGCACTATGCTAGCTTTGGGGTTTATCAACTCTTCTGCACTGTCATAATCTAGGTCACAGGGACCTTGATCACCTTTCTTTCATAAAATGTCACACTGGTTCATTAACATGTGCTGATTGGTCACAGTAAGGAAAAAGTATCACTGACTCTAGACTTATTTCGACGCTAGATGGTGTGAAATTAACCCAATGATCCTCTGGCTCTAGGAGTTTCATTACCTTATGTTGATTGGTCACAGTGAGGAAAAAGTATCAATGACTCTAGACTTATTGGCAAGATATTTCCATGCTTGTTGTTAAGTGCTGTCAAGTTGGTTCCAACCCATAGTGACCCTGTACAGGGTTTCCGAGGCTGTAAATCTTTACAAGAGCAGAAAGCCTCATCTTTCTCCCGCGGAGTGGCTAGTAGTTTCGAACTGCTGACCTTAAGGTTCGCAGCCCAATTCATAACCGCTATGCTGCCAGAGCTCATTTCCATGCTAGATGGTGTGAAATTAACCCAATGAACCTCTGGCTCTAGGAGTTTCACAGTGCAGGGACTCTAGGTCCAAAGGATGGAATGCACTCCACTCCCAGCTCTTCTCTCTTGGTGAGAGTAGGTCCCTCTGAGCTCTGCTTAATTTCTTTAATATCTTAAGAGACTGACACAGGATAAAATCTAATTTGTATATTGCATCTAATCTCATTAACATCATATTTTTGTTAAGTGCTGTCGAGTTATTAAGTTCTGACTCATAGCAGCCCAGTACAGGATTTCCAAGGAGCAGCTGGTGGATTTGAACTGTCAACCCTGTGGTTCAAAGTCCACTGCTGATCCTACAGTGCCACACTATACGATTTAGAACATATAGAATAATTACAAATTAGGGCTCATCACATCAGATTGCATCACAGGGGGTGTGGTTACATCATTACATAACTACCTCATTACATCATTACAGAACTGTCACACCACTGAGAATCATGGCGCAACCATGTTGATGCACATTTTGAGGGGGACATAATTTAACCCATAACAACAGGGAACATGGTAAAATCAGTGCATTTCATACGTGTGGGCGTATGAGTGAAGTGAGACCCCTGAAATGTGGCAGTGCTATGTAGTATACCATAATGTGAGTAAGTCCATGGGTGGTTGTTTTGGCATAAACACTGAATGCAGGGAAGGCAAATTCTTATCCAGAGCAAGCGTCTATTCCAATAAGAGCAAAGCGCTGCCCTTTCTATGATGGAAGTGGTCCAATGTAATTGATTTAACACCAGGTTGCTGGCTTATCACCCCCAGGAATGGTTCCATATTGTGAACTCAGTGTGGATCTCTGCTGCTGACAGACTGGGCACTCAGTAGTGGCTGCAGTCAAATCTTGGTGAATGGAATTCCATGTGGCTGAACCCAGGCCCATTATGGGCCTTTTGTTCATGAGCCTATTGAACACGAGTGGCTGCGCAAAGAGGGTGATTTGTTTCCACAGAACATGTCATCCGAGCCACTTGATTGGTTAAAAAATCCTCCTCTGCTGAGGTCACCCTTTGGTGAGCATTCACATAAGACAAACATATATTTACTTCTTTGATCAATTTCCAGAAGTCTATCCACATACCTCATCCCCATACCTACTTCTCACCAATTTCCCAGTCATGTTCTTTCCAAGTCCCAGGCCATCTGGGCTAGTTAGGGTTCTGTGTTAAGCTTGGCTGGACCATGATTCTTAATGGTTGATCGGGTAAGACGTAGTAGTCCTCTAATCTAATCACCTCCGTGATGAGATCTGCTATGACCAGCTAACCAATTGAAAGGAAGCTTCCTCAGGAGTGTGGCCTGTAACAGCTTTCATCTTACAAACCTGAAAGGAGAGAAGTGAGCAAAGGAGGGACCACTGCCACCAAAACAGGCTGGAAGTGGAATAAATCCTTTGCACCTGCATCATCAAGTTCTTAGATCCAGAGGAAGATTGATGCTACAATGCATGTACATCACCAAGGAAAGCTGGACCTACAGAAGTGAAAGGAGACAAGGGCCTTTCCCTAGCCCCCTAAATTTGTTATGTGTTGTGGAGTCGGTTCTGACTCATAGCGACCCTGTACAGGGTTTCCGAGGCGGTAAATCTTTACGGGAGCAGAAAGCCTCATCTTTCTCCCACAGAACAGCTGGTAGTTTTGAACTGCTGACCTTGCGGTTCACAGCCCGATTCATAACCACTACGCTACCAGAGTTAAAGGCATCCTCTTGTGGTATTTCTGTTATAGCTGCACTATATGAATGATATACAACCTAATAGAATGATAGACACACTTACGGGGCCAGCTAGGTGACAATACCTTGCAGGGTCAGGGAAATGGTTTCCAGAAGGCTGTATATGCTGCTCTAAGTCAGTGTTCAACGTACAGTGTGGTGTCTCCAAAAGCTAGAACTCATGTGTCCAGGAGCTAAGGGGCGGAAATGGGAGTGGCAACACTATTACTCCTAGTGACCCATTAGCAACATTTTTCCTTCCTGTTCCTGAAATCCTATGCTCTTCCTTGTATGTGTACAGCAAATATTTTTTCTTCACTTACACAATATAATCTGTAAATGGGGCTAGTGTATTTTCAGCAATACTCATGTTAACCGTACCATGTTAAGTGCAAGTGTGATTTTATATTTTAGAGACGAGTTCTGGTATAAGGAGATGTGCATAGGTACCAAGCTGACAAGGGGTGGACTATGATGGTTAAGGCTGATTGTCAACTTGGTTGGGCCAGGATTCTCTAGTTTGACAGTTCTGTAATGGATCTAATGTAAGTTATATGTAATATAACAATAATGCAGTTAGCCCCTATGCTGCGGTCCGATGTGATCTGCGCTTATCTGATGTAAGGGCCTTAGTGAGGGATGTATCATCTTTATTCCAGCCACAGTGCTGATCTGATGTGGAGGGAGTCTCGGGGGGACTTTTTTGGGGGGGGGAGATGCAATGTCCTTATTCCAGCCACAGCACTGATCTGATGTGGAGGGAGTCTGGGATGGGGGTGCGGGTGGGGTGCTGCGTTGTCCTTGCAGAGCTCTCTGGATACTGTTATGTGGCTCATATCATCTAAATTCTGGTTCTTGGAACTTGATCCAGCAGCCTGCCATATTACCTACTGACCACCGATCTGTTTGCCTCTTCAACTTTAGTCAGCAGCCTATCGCCTTACCTGCTGGTCTTGGATTCATCAGTCTCCCTGCCGGTGTGATGTGATGGTGCTGGGCGTCATGAAGCCCTGTGGCTCCGTAAGTTGAGAGAAGTCTCCAGCCTGAGCGCTGACTCAGACTTGGCACTTGCCAGGCTCTACAAATGTGTGAGTCATTTCCTTGAGATAAATCTTTTTTTTTTCTCTCTCTAAGCTCTGTTAGCATAGTGGTTACGAATCAGGCTGCAAACCTCAAGGTCACCAGTTCGAAACTACGAGCTGTTTCACAGGAGAACGATGAGGCTTTCTGCTCCCATAAAGATTTACAGCCTTGGTAACCCTGTACAGGGTCGCTATGAGTCGGAACCAACTCCACGGCATATAACAACAACATACACACTAGAAACTGTGCAAGTTTTACTTCTCTAGGGAACCCAAGCTAAGACACAAACCTACAACATTGCTTAACGTAACATCATTTTATTAGTTTTCATTACTCTTACAACTTTTTATATTAATAAAAAAAACTAACCACAACTTCTAGACATAGAAGTTCTAGTTTACTTGAGTTACAGATATAGAGTCCTGCTGTGGCACTAACTTTAAGGCTGGCAGTTCAAACCACCTTCTACAGGGTTGCTATGAGTCAGAACTGACGTGACAGCATTTAACAATAACAACACACAGATACACCGTCACAGAACTTACAGATGGTGGGAGTTCAGGTAGATGACTTTATTTAGTTAACAGAATAAAACCACTCTGCACTTTTTTCAATAATAGCTAAAGAGTGTTTCAAGGCAGATTACACTCAGGCCAGAGATCTGTGGGGGACTGACGTAAGCAATACATAACTAAAGACATAGGGATGACGTGTGATTTTCAATCACTGCAGCATCTATTCTTCTAGTTTTAACTATGCTCATTTAAAATTTTTCACAGAAAAAATATATTTTAGGCAAGCACAAATAAATTCCAAATAAACATGGTTTAATAACTTATTTTACCTTAATTAAGGCAGGCAAAGTACAGATACTGTACACTGATAGCAAATACAGGTATGCATTGCTTAAACATCCCCAATACATTCTGTCTGTAACACAGGCTGTTATGTTGGATTCACCTATTCCACTATAACCCCCAAGCTGCTCTTGCACTCTGTGAGTGCTTGAAGCCTGGGGTTTGCAAACTTACATCTATAATTGGCACCGTCAAGGTGCATGGTACTCTCCAAGCAGCCTTAGGGAGCATGGTCAGAACTGGAAATCTCGAGGGAAGGAACAGCCGTGTCTCCACACAAGCACATGCCAGTAGCGGCAGCACAGCTCAGGACTGCAAGCTGCCATGACTGGCTTCAGCTACCAAGTTTCAACCACGTTGTAGTAACCTTGGTAGCTACTGTGGTTGTCAAATCACTGCCTCGACACCAGCCCCACCTCTTGGCACCCTTCCAAGCAATCCCTTCCTCCCCACGAACAAATACATAATAAGGGTGGACACTGCCCAAATGGACATTACACAGTGCATACCTGTACGTCAATATAGATCACATTATTTTCTACTTTTTCTAAGCTCTTCCTCTCTGAAGCATATCAAAAGCAAGTTAAATGTACAAAGAACCATCTGCTGGTCCGACATAGCCAACGCCAATTAGCAAGACATCTATCAGTGTCCATATTCCCAGGCCACCAAAGCTGAAGAGTTTGCCAAGGCCCTCACGCCACTGGCCCAGGTAGAAACGGTCAGCTCCAAAGCCACCAAGGGTGATGCTGTAACATAAAACAAAGAATTCATAAGACTTTCTCCACAGTGTTATAACTGTGCTAAGTGCTATTTGTGAAAAGGCCCCAAAAATATTACCAACTTTAACTATTACATAAATAATGATGTCACAATTTTACACTACGAAATAATCACTGGTAAAATTTTTTCATGTCAAAAGTAAACATTACTTTTAGCAGTACTAAAATCTAATGTTTTCTCTTTTAAAGACAATCTACGCTGCCGCTTTAGCCTGGTCAATAGAAAGAGCACTAACGTAGCAGTCAGGAGTTGGGAGTCTTCTATCAGCTCAGAAGCAATCTAGGTGACCAGGATTAAGATCTTTAACTTTTCCGGTCACTCAAAAACTTTAGCTTAGGGAAGAATGACTTAAGGTTCTTTCCAATTCTAAAGCCTAACAATTTTAGAAAAACTTTCTAATGTATTTCTTTTTAAGATTTCAATCTTGAAAATTGCAAACATATACAAAGCAAAAACATAGAGAAGATTGTACCCATGGCCCCAATCCAACAATTGTTTTTTTCTGGCTGTCAATTCTGATGCATGGTGACCTCACTGCACCAGTGTAAAATTGTATTCCATAGGGTTCTCTTGGTGACCTCAGTGTAAAATTGTACTCCATAGGGTTCTCTTGGTGACCCCACTGCACCAGTGTAAAATTGTACTCCATAGGGTTCTCTTTCTTTCTTTTTTTTAAAAACCTTTTTATTGTGAACCAGGTTAAGGTTTACAGAGCAGATCAGCTTGCCACTCAACAAGTCACACATACTTTGTTTCACTTCACTGACTACAATCCCCACATCTGACATCACTGATCCCACTTCCTCGGTTCTATTTCTCTTTTTTATTTCCAGTTTTATTCCTCCTTCTTTCCTAACCTTTCTGAATTCTGTCCTTAAGTAAACTTAACTGACCTTCTGAGCTCTGCAATGAATAGACTGTGTCACACTGACTCTAATCATTACTAACGTGAAGCCAATGTTGGTCCATTTAGTCCCTCACCCCTCCTCCATCCCAGGTTACTTGGAAGTGAATAGTTTTGAAGACACTATATTAAACTCTAGGAAGAAACCTATTCTTGATTTTTATAAGTTGATAAATGTACCATGGTAATGTCAGATGTTAACAGTAGGGGAAACTGGGTGAGGGTTGTACAGGAAGTAATTACCTCTGCAACTTTTCTGTAAATCTAAAATTAGTCCAAAATTAAAAGTAATTTTTAAAAAAGAGGCAGATGTTAAGTTCTATTTTGAGTCATTCCTCACCACAACTGTGGCCATATATATAATCTTATTTTTTATTATTTTCTATTTTGGACTCCTTTGCGGATATGTTGTACCTTCCTGTCAGAAAACCCCTCTTTCCCAGCCGAAACCCCACTGCAAGGGTTCCAAATAAGAGTGACTTTCCACCTAGAGACACAGGCAGTTTTTGGCAATTTCTGGAGACAGTTCTAATTGTCATAACGGTGAATGCTACTGGCATCTAGTGGGTAAAAACTAGTAATGCTGCTAAATATCTCTGTTCACAAGACAGCATCCCATAACAAATAATCTAGTCCAAAATGTCAATGGTGATGAGAGTGAAAAATCCTGCCCTATGCTAAACAGGAGTCCTGGTGTGGTGCTAGGGGTTAATGTGCTGGACTGTAAGGTTGGACTGATTTATAAGGTTGGTGGTTCAAGCTCATCAACCACTCCTCAGAAACCCTACACAGGGTTTCTATGAGTTGGAACCAAGTCGACAGCACCTAACAACAAAATTAGGTTGAAGGCTACAACTCTATGCCTTCAACTTTATATAGCGAAGTTTTGCATGTTTCTCTTGGGTCATTTTCATTTTTCTTCTCAAGTTTTCAGTTATAAAGCATGCATTTTTTTTAACAGTAAGAACTTACTAAAAATTTAAAGCATACACCATAAATCTACCTATTTTAAATGATCTATGGTGGAGATCGGGTACCCTGGTGTGGTGCTGTGGGTTTGAACTGCAAGGTCAGCGTTTCAAGCTCACCAGCTGCTCCTCGGAAACCCTATAAAGGGCCGCTATGAGTCAAAATCAACTCGACGGCACTTAACAACAACAAAATGGTAGAGAAGTTAGTCATTTACAGATTCACAGTAGATTTAAGGAGAGAAAGGCTGGTTGGTTCTACCAACAATAACAATGACTTCATTACATCATCTCTAGAAGGCACAGGAGACAAGCCAATGTTGCTGCCACTATATTCCACATGCATCAGTGTGGTCATCTACACTGGTATTCTAGCGTGTATCTGTCACATGTGATAGGATCAAAGCTAAAAAGGAGCTTTGTTGAGCTCAGTTTTGAAAGATTCCAGTGATTCAAATAATTTTTTTTCATTCAAATGGCATCTTTGTTTTAACTGATTAAACACAAAGCTTACCTCAGAGCCAAAGCAGTGGACCATTTATAACCTCCAGTCCAATTACAGTACAGCATTTTGGGGAAAATACGGTTACCTTAAAAACAGGAAAACATTCCACATAGAAAGACGGGTATAAAAATATTCTGATGCAGTGACTAGTGACCTCATAATCTAAAATATTTATTTTTAAAAACCTCTTTTTAAAATAATAATCACTATGAATATTGTTTAAAATGAACAATAACATGTAAGTCCTTACTACCGATAAGTATAGATGTTTTTAACCAGGCAAGTAGTACAGCTTGTTGTTGTTAGGTGTCATCGAGTCAGTGCCGACTCATAGCGACCTAATGCAAAGCAGAACGAAACACTGCCCGATCCTGGGCCAACCTCACTACTGTTGCCACGCCTGAGTCCATCGATGCTGCCACTTGACCAATCCATCTCGTTGGGGGTCTTCCTCTTTTTCTCTGACCCTCCACCTTACCAAACATGATATCCCTCTCCAGTGACTGGTCCCTCCTGACAATATGTCTCAAGTATGAGAGATGAAGTTTGGTCATCTTGGCCTCCAAGGAGTACTCTGGCTGCACTTCTTCTAAAACTGATCTATTGGTTCTTTTGGCAGCCCATGACACTTTCAATATTCTCCTCCAACACCATAACTCAAAAGTATCAATTCTTCTAAGGTGTTCCTTATTGACTGTCCAGCTTTCACATGCATATGAGGTTATGGAAAATACCATGGCTTGGGTCAGGCACACCTTAGATCTCAAGCTAACATCTTTGCTCTTCAACACTCCAAAAAGGTCTTGTACAGCACATTTGCCTACCGTAATACGTCGTTTGATTTTTTGACTGCTGCTTCCGTGAGTATAGATAATTGATCCAAGAAGAATGAAGCCCTTGACAACTTCAATCTTTTCTCTGTTGATAAGAATGTTGTTTATTGGTCCAGTGGTGGGATTTTTGTTTTCTTTACATTGAGATGCATTCCATACCAAAGGCTGTGCTCTTTGATCTTCATCAGTAAATGTTTTAAGTCCTCTTCACTTTCAGCAATCAAGGTTGTATCATCTGCATATCGCAGATTGTTAATGAGTATTACTCCAGTCCTGATGCCATGTTTTTCTTCATATAACCCAGCTTCTGAGATTATTTGTTCAGCATACAGGTTGAATAAGTATGGTGAAAGAATACAACCTTGTTGCACACCTTTCTTAATTTTAAACCATTCAGTGTTTCCATGTTCTGTTTGAACAACTGCCTCTTGGTCCAGGTACAGATTCCTCATGAGCACAATTAAGTGTTCCGGAATTCTCATACTTCACAATGTTGTCCATAGTTTGTCATGATCCACACAATCTAAAGCCTTTGCATAGTCAATAAAGAGCAGGCAAACATCTTTCTGTTATTCTCTGCTTTCAGCCAAGACAGTACAGTTTAGTGAATACAAATGGCCTACTGCATATCAGGACTTAGGATGAAGTTACAGTAATGTGAAGTCCTGACATAAATAAACAAGCCAATGGAGAAAGGAAAGTCCAGAAAAAAGAACTGTGGATATTTCAGCATCTCATGTATGACAAAGGTCACAATAAAGATCAGAAGGGAAGAGGCACTGAGACAACTGGTTATGTAAGAAAATAAGTGAAATTAAATCCCTAGTTCATATCATATACCAAAACCAACTCCAGATGGATACAGACTGATACACGAAAAGCCATACTTGAAGAAAAAGAGGTCACCAAACTCAGAGAGAGGTTGAGAGAAAGTACTAAATAATTAGCATCCAAATTATAAAAGTTACTAAAAATCTTTACCAAAAAACAAAAATTAAGGATAATAAGTAATAAGAGAGGGCTTCAAAAATTTCATGGGAAAATGGATTTGAAAGATAATGGATAGGATGTTTACATGAACGTTTTGAGCCCCCTCATATATAAGATTTGGATTATTAAGAACTGCTGTGTCCTACTGGTGGCAATTTAAAATGATAAAACCATTTAACAAAATAGCATATGGAGCCCTGGTGTGGTGCTGTGGGTTAACGCACCAGACTGCAAAGCCATTTGAACTGCAAAGTCGGCAGTTCCAGCTGCAAAGTCGGAAACTTTGTCAGAAACTTTGTACAGGGTCGCTATGGGTCGGAACCGACTCGACAGCACTTAACAACAACAATGGATACATACAAAACATTAACAGTAGCATGATCTATAAGAGCAAGAAATATTACCTATTAAAGATACATGTGAGAATAGGTAAACTAGGCTACAAGGGTAACTCAAAAAGTACTAGCTAATACATACATGGGTTTATTTAAAAAAAAAAAAAAAATGGCATTTAAGCATGTCTGTGAACAGTGGGTGGCTGCAGACCAGCAATACACTTGTCTTAGTCATGCTGTTGTCATTACGTGCTGTGGAGTCAATTCCAACTCATAGTGACCCTGTACAGGGTTTCCGAGGCTGCAAATCTTTACAGAAGCAGAAAGCCTTATCTTTCTCCCACAGAGCAGCTGGTAGTTTCGAACAGCTGACCTAAAGGTTCGCAGCCCAATTTTCGTAACCACTATGCTATCAGAGCTCCTTTTAGTCTTGCTAGGGTACCTTAAAAAACAAAAGGTGCCATGGTAGTTGGCACAGGACCAGGTAGTGTTTCATTCTGTTGTGCATAAGGTCACTATGAGTCGTTACCAACTTGATGGTGCCTAGCAACCATAATAGAAAAAAAACAACAAAACAACTTTGAAGTCCGGGCTAATATATTTTTAAGACATCTTCCCAAATCATTGAAACTTTACAAAAAGTTTACAGGAATGTGGTCCCACATAAAACAACAGTTTTTAACTGGATCAAGCATTTTAAGGAAGACCTCAAAGATGAGAAAAGAGAGAGAAGACCATCAACCTCAGTGAATGAAGAAACTGAGGCTGAAGATCAGAAACTGGTAGAAGACTGTAGAATTACCACTGATGCAACAGCTACTGTGGAGTCCTGCTGTGGTGCTCTGGGACTAAGCACTGGACTGCAAGGTCAGCTCACCAGCCGCTGCTTAGAAGCCCTATACAAGGTCGTTATGATTGGAGCCAATTCTACGGCACTTAACAACAACAATTTCTACCGATGTTGAGACCTCACATCATTTGACATTTTTTATTTAACTCAGCAAACTTTCAATTGGATGGGTGCCAAAAGCAGGAGTGAAGCTAATGGAGATGATTTTATGAAACAAATCATAACCAGGGAGGTGTCTTGGATTTACCAATATGATCCAGAGAGCAAGTTGGTTGAATCAAAACAGTGGCTTCTAAGGGGATCTGCTGGGCCAGTTCAATTCAAGGCAGAGATCTCAGTCAGCTTAGGAGGTAATGGTGATTGTTCCAAAAGGGTAATTGGAATAAATTTTCTTGACGGACACGGAATGACCACAGGAGCTTATTATAAAATACGTCCAAGAAAACTGAAAACTGCATTGCTGAGAAAAAGACCAGCAAAGTGACGCTGAGGAAGTTTTTTTCCATCTCGACAGTGCACCTGACTGCTCCTACTTTGAGGGTAGCAAGAGCTGTCCTCAGGGAATTTCTTTAGGAAACTTTATCCATTTACTGTACAGCCCTGATCTTGCCCCGAACTCAAAGAACATTTCAAAGGATCCTAAGGATGGAAAATTTACCATTTTGAGATGGTGTAAATCAAAGAACATAGAATTCTTTGAGAAAGGATTAGTGAGATAGAAACATTGCCTTAAAATGGGTATAGACTACATGGAGGGTAGGCCAAGATTGTCTTCCTAATGAACTTTTGCTTCTTCCTGTATGATGTTCTTGATGGCATTCCACAATTCTTCTGGTCTTTAATCATTACTGTCTAATGCATCAAATCTGTTCTTGAAATGATCTCTAAATTCAGGTGGGACATGTTCAAGGTCAAATATTGGCTCTTGTGGACTTGTTTTAATTTTCTTCAGCTTCAGCCTGAACTTGCATATGAGCCAATTGACAGTCTGTTCAACAGTCTGCCCCTGGCCTTGTTTTGACTGATGATTTTTCCACCACATCTTTCCACACATGTAGTCCATTTGATTTCTGTGTATTCCATCTCATGAAATCAATGTGTATAGTCTTTTATATTGTTTAAAAAATGTATTTGCAATGAATAAATCACTGGCCTTGAAAAATTCTATCATGCAATCTCCAGCATTGCTTCTATCATCAAAGCCATACTTCCTAACTACTGATCCTTCCTCTGTTTCCAACCTTTACATTCCAATCGCCAGTAATTTATCAGTACCTCTTGATTGCATGTTTGATCAATTTCAGACTGAAGAATTTCAGACTGAAGAAGTTGGCAGAATTCTAAAATGTCATCAACACTGGCTTTAGTGGTTGGCACATCAATTTGAATAACAGTTGTATTAACTGGACTTCTTTGTAGGCAAATGGGTATTATCCCATCACAGGCAGCATTATACTTCAGGAAAGATCTAAAATGTTCTTTTTGTTGATGAATGTGATACTATTCCTCTTCAATTTGTCATTCCTGGCATAGTAAATCAAATGACTGTCAGATTCAAAATGGCAATACCAGTCCATTTCACTGCCTAGGACATCAATCTTCATGTGTTCCATCTCATTTTTGACAACTTTTAATTTTCTTAGATTCATCCTTCGCACAGTCCATATTTCTCCTCTTTTTGAGTTGTGCCTCATCAGTGAACGAAGGTCCCAAAAGCTTTACTGCATTCATGTCATCACAATCAGCTCTAGCTCTTCCCCGGTCATATTTTGAGAGTGTCATAAGATGAGCCTGAGAACTCATCTTCCGGCACTAAATCTGACAACATTCTGGTGCTATCTGACAGTATTCCACTGTTTTCATAAGGTTTTAATTGACTAAACATTCAGAAGTAGTATGCTTCTCCTTCTAGTCTAGCTCAGTCTGGCAGCTAAAACCTATCCTCTGAGTGACCCTGCTGGTATTTAAACTACTGTGTGATAGCTTCCAGTATCATAGCAACACACAAGCTGCTACAGTATGACAAACTAACAGATGAGTGGTGGATTTTTTTTGCCCGTTGAATCCTTTCAATATTGCAAGTCAAGGCTGGAATTTTTTCTTCAGTTCTTTCACCTTATGAAATGCTCAGTGTGTTCTTACCTTTTGGTTTCCTAACTCTAACTTTTTGCATATTTCACTGTAATACATGACTCTGTCTTCTCAAGCTGTTGTTGTTGTTGTTGTTGTTAAGTGCCATCGAGTCGGGTCCGACCCATAGCGACCCTGTACAGGGTTTCCGAGGGTGTAAATCTTTACGGGAGTAGAAAGCCTCATCTTTCTCCCGCGGAGCGGCTGGTAGTTTCGAACCGCTGACCTTAAGGTTCGCAGCCCGATTCGTAACCACTACGCTACCAGAGCCTTTGAAATTTTCTGTTCAGATTTTATTTCCTCATTTTAGCTTCTCTACACTCAAGAGCAAATTTTAGAGTCTCCTCTGACTTCCATATTGGTCTTTTCTTTCTTTCTTATCTTTTTAATGACCTTTTTCTTTCTTCTTGTATGACGTTCTTGATGTCATCCCATTAACTTTTCTGGTCTTCAGTCATTCGTGTTAATGAATCAAATCTGTTCTTAAGGTGGTCTCCAAATTCAGGTGGGACATGTTCAATGTCATATTTTGTCTCTCATTTACTTGCTGTCAGTTTGATTCCATGTGGTGAGGTTAAGAAAGGCATTTGTGGTGAATAAGTCATTGATCTTTCAAAATTCTACCGTGTGGTCTCCACCATCATTTCTCTCATCAAGGCCACATTTTCCAACTACTCATCTTTCCTCTTTGCTTCTAAATTTCACATTCCAATCACCAGTAATTATCAGTCAATTATCCTATCACAGACAGCATAATACTTCAAGATAGGCCTTGAAATGTTCTTTTTTGACAATGTAGGTAACATCATTCCACTTGAATTTGTTATTCCTGGATGGAAAGCCTTATTATAATTGTCTGATTCTAAATGGTCAACAGTAGTCCATTTTAACACACTAACGCCTAGAGTAATAATCTTTATTTGAAAAGGCAGAATAGTTATAAAAACTTATGAACTTTAAATATTCTGGATACATCCTGCTGCCATTTTTTTTTAATCCATTAAGTTCATCAAGGAGGCTTGGAATAACTAAAAAGCTGATTAAATAATTTAATTCTCATATCTCAGATTAAAATTAAAGCAATGTCCTGACATTCCGTGGGGCCTCAGACTTACCCAAGCAGTGAATGTGGTCCCGTACAGTGCAGTTGGCAGCATAGCGCTGCCGCGGACAGGACACTGTCATGCAGTTGATGGTGTTGGAACACTTGTAATCTGTTTCTGGCAGCTGCCAGCAAAATCTACAAGTCATATTGATGATGAAGTTCTTTTGGGGTTTGAAGTCTTCATCCTATATACCAAAGGACGACACAGAGTTAACAAACCATCAGATAATAATGTTTTCATGTAAATAAAACTATACAGTCATATGGCACAAAGCTTCCAAAACACTTATATTTACGACCTGATACTAAATGTCAGAAAAAGAGGTTCCAAAATATTATGTATGAAAAGCAAATTCACGTACTGTGATCCTATAATCATAAAAAAATATATAAATACTCATATCTAAGAAAAAAATCTAGATAAATTTACAACAAAATGTTAACAAAGATATCATACTGCTTTTGCTTAGCTAAATTTTCAATAATGAGCATATGCACTTTTGTTAAGTGAGAAAAAAGGAGTAAAAATGTATTTTATAAATCCACAGGGCCACTGATAGCTGGAACACCTGAATACATTTGTTTGAGGTCACTGAGCTACAAGTCTTCTAATCACCAATCACAAGACTATGCTTCTCAGTCTCAAATCTTCCCTAACATCTCTAATCATGGCCTGGTTCACCACTCAAGGGCTATCGCTGCTGCTCCCCCACCCTTCATGAGCCCTAGCATGACCACAGGCAGTTCACAGAGAACTAACCTCAACTAAGAAAATCCACAAGACATGAAGAGGCTCAAGAAGTGGTCAATGTTAGCTGTTAGTTTTTATTTTCCTCAAAGAATATATAATCACTGGTTTACTTGCTTGGCTTCCAAATTTCTAATTTTTTATTTATTTAATTTTCCCTTTCCTCCCAACCTTGATAACCATCAAAGCACATTTCTTTTGGCATGAAAATCTTTCTTTCCTTTTTACAATTAGTGGACTTATATAAGATTTGTCCTTTTGTGATTAGTTTCACTCAGCATGTCCACTGGGTTCATCCATGTTGTGAGGTGTTTGGCAGATTTGCTATTCTTCAGTGTTGCATAGTATTCCATTGTATGTAAGTACCAGTTTAACTATTCTTCTGTTGGTGGGTATTTAGGCTGTCTCCAACTTTTTGCTATTGCGAATAGTGCTGCAATGGACATGGTGTGCATACATCTATTTGTGTCATGACTCTTATTTCTTGAGAATATATACCAAGTAGAGGGATTGCTGGATCATAAAGTATTTCTATTTCCAACTTTTAGAGACCATACCATTTTCCACAGTGCTTGCACCATTTTACAGCTCCACCAGCAGTGTAGGAGGGTCCCAGTCTCTTCACACCCTTGCCAGTACTTGTTGTTTTCTCTTTCTGTGAACTGTGCTATTAATACTGAGACAAAATGATATCTCACTGTTTTGATTTGCATCTAACAGCTAATGGTCATGAACAATTTTTCATATATTTGTTAGTTGCCTTAGTATCTTCTCTGGTGCAGTGTCTGTTCATGTACTCTGCTCATTTTTTAATTGGATTGCATTTTTCTTGTTGAGGTGTTGAAGTGTTCTATAAATTTTAGAGTAGTGGATTGTCTGATAAGTCATTGTCAAAAAATTTCTCCCTGTCCCTTTTGGTGAAATCTTTTGTTGCACATAAAGTTCTTAGCTTTTAGCTTTGGAGACCAGAAATTTGGACTGTTTTGTTTCTCCATTTTAATTTTAAAAGTGTTTATCTTGTTTTTGTTTTGTTTTTAAATACAAGCAATGCATGTTATTTTAATATTGCAAATTAGGAGAAAACAGTACATAATCTATAACTTCTCTACACATAACAACTTTTAATCTTTCAATTTTTTTATATATCTATTCATGATTGTCTGTGTATATAGGTGGACTCAATTACAGTGAATTATAAGTAATTAAGCCCAAAAGTACTGCTACAAAATCAAAGAAACCCTTATTGAATAAAAACATCAAAATATGAAAGGCATTGTTTTGGAACATATCCTCCACTTAGGTCTACACACTTCTGAAGGTGGTATTTCCATCTCTCTAACCCTCTTCTAAAGAATTCTGTGCTCTTTGACTTACACCTCGTCAAAACTGTAGTTCTGGCATCTTCAAAGGACTGAAATCATGTGCCACTGAAATGTTTTTTTGAGTTTAGAGAAAACAAGAAATTTAAAGAGGCAAGGTCAGGGATGTAGGGTGGACGGGTAAGGTTTCTCAATGAAATCCTCATAAGACAGTTTTTGCTATCCTCAAAGAAAGAGCAAGCAGGTATACTGTCAAGATGGAAAATTTCCTTAGCGCTACTTTGCTAGCCTTTTTCTCATCATTGCAGTTTTCCATTTTCTTAAAATTGCTTCATAATAAGACCTTACGATCATTCTGTGTTCTTTAAAAAAAAAAAAATCTATTCAGATTACCTTTTTAGAACAGTCACCATAACCTTCTGAGCTGACCTCTCTGCCTTAAATTCGATTGGCCCAGCCGCTGCCCTCAGAAGCCACTGTTCTGATTGAACCTTGCTCTCTGAATCATTGATAAATCCAAGAAACCGCCCTGACTGTGATTTGTTCCATAAAATCATCTTCATTAGCTTCACTTTCGTTTTGGGCACCCATCCAGCTGAAAGTTTTCTGAGATCAAGAAGTGTGTTTAAAATAAAAAATGTTGAATGACATGAGATCTCAATTTCAGTAGATATTACATCAAAGGTAATTCTACAGTCTTTTTACACAATTTCTGGACTTCAGTCATGAATTCTTCATTCATCAAAGCTGACAGTCTTCTCTTTCTTGGCTCATCTTTGAGGTCTTCCTGACCTTCCTTAAAATGCTTGATACATTTTTAAACTTGTTTTATGAGGGACCACATCTCCATGAACTTTCTGAAAAGCATCAATTTGAGAAGATGTCCCTTGAGTTCTATTAAAATGTTATTAGTCCAGCCCTCAAAGTCATTTTTTTCCATTGCATCTCTTTTTAAGGTAACCTAACACAGGGACCATCTGACTGGCCACTCACTAGTTGGGGTTCCTCTTGCCATCCCTGCTCAGCTTCCCCTCCCAACAAGCACTCAATCCACTTCTCTAGCCTTTCCTGTGAAGTTCAGGGTTCCCAAAATTTTGTCTGTGTCTATTTCATTTAGTCTCTCGTATCTTTGTTGTAGAGAATCTATGCAGTGCATCTGCCTCATCTGTCATCTTTCCAGAAGTCCTCTAAATATATCTTGTTTGGAATACACCCATGTATGTATGAACTGAAACTGCAGTAGCAGTACTTTTTTAATTAACTTGGTATTTACATGTTGTGCTGTTGTTATTGTTAAGTGTCGTTGAGTCGGTTCAGACTCATATTGACCCTTCCTAGGGTTTCTGAGGAGCAACTGCTGGGTTTCAACCACTGACCTTGCAGTTCAAACCAAGCTTCTGGTCCAGCGCATTACCCTGTAATACCATACCACGATGTTTACATAAATAGAATTACACTAAAAACATTTTGTATCCAGTTTTAATGTTGCTTTCATTCATAATGACAATCATTCGGACTCACAGCAACCCCACAGAACAGAGCTGCCAGAGGTGTAATCTTCATGGAAGCTGACTGCCACATAGATCTCCTGTGGGGCTCAAACCAATGACCTTTTGGTTAGCAGTCAAGCACTTAACCACTGCCCCAGGGCTCCTTATTCACATTATACAGTAACACGTTTCTAAATGATCATACAACATATTCATTAGTTTTTGATCAATATAAAACTGCTTTCTATGGACAGAGTTGAAAACTGGATAAGGTTCCACTTAATTTATGACATATTGTTTTTATGTGTTTACATATTTTTAGTGATTCATTTAGAACACAGAGTTTTATAACCTTTTTTAAAAAACAGTATTTTACCTGCAAATGGTACAAATTTCAAGACCCAACAGGACAGTAAAGAGTTAGCCTGAACTACAGGCCTGCCGTCAGCATCTGCCCTCCCAGTGCTGAGCACTGCATACCTGACCTGCATCACTTCCAGGGACAGTCTAGTCTACTCTATACACATGGAAGTTTATATCATACGTATCTGTCACTTACCAATGACAACAACATACACACATACATACATACACACTCCTAGTGTGGCATTATAGGATAAGCACTGGACTGCTAACCACAAAGTTGGCAGTTCAAACCTACCAGCTGCTCCTTGGAAACCCTATATAAGGCTGCTATGAGTTGGAACTGACTCAGTGGCACTTAACAAAATGAGTATATATGTATATAAAGGAGGGTTTTGTGTAAGTTATAAAGTGCAGCAACATGGAATTAATAAGTAAAAGACAATATGCATCTGCTTGCCAGATTTGACTAATACCTCCAAAAGGTTTGTCCACTCATTAACAAGGTATAAGAGTATTTGTCTTCTATATCCTCACCAACTCAAGAGAACTATCAAACTTTGTTATTTTTCCCCTAATGTGACGGGTTGAAATGCAATTAGCTTAATGGAAAATTTAAGCATTCTTTCATATGTTGAACGTCCATTTGTATTTCTTTTTTCTATGAACTACTGCTTATATTATAAGTCCATTTTTTTACCCATAGCCACTGGTAGCGTAGTGGTTACGAATCGGGCTGCGAACCTTAAGGTCAGCGGTTCGAAACTACCAGCCGCTCCGCGGGAGAAAGATGAGGCTTTCTACTCCCGTAAAGATTTACACCCTCGGAAACCCTGTACAGGGTCGCTATGGGTCGGACCCGACTCGATGGCACTTAACAACAACAACAACAACATTGTTTATTTATTGTTATTTTTTCCTAACCTTAACTTACTAATAGAAAACATCTATTAATTACAAATATTAGTCCATTATTTGTCACATTAGAAAAAGTTTTTCCTATTTTGTTATATGTCTTAATACTTTTTTAGCTCCATTAGAAATCTCCATTTTTAGTAGCCAAACATATTAATTCTTGGTTTTATGGCTTTGAAATTTTATTTCAAATTTAGAGACAACATTCCCACTTTGGGATTATAAGAACTATTTACTCTGGTCATTCAGGATTTCATTTTTCACATTAGATATTTGACTGATCCAGAATTTATGTGATAATTACATTTATTGATAACTAAAAAGATAGTGATCCAATTTGATTTATTTGTTTTAGAAAGCTATGTAGGCACCCCAATATCCACTAACCTTCTCCTCATCACAATTAACCCCTTCAAAAGCTCTATAGTAAAAAGACTGACCATTCCCTTTGTAAGCAACTGTCCTACTAACAGAGCACAGAATCCATGTAAAGAAAGGATACCTGCTCAGACACACTAGTGGACTGCCATCTCTAGGAAAGCTGTTCTGGACAAATGCCTTGGTTTCTTGTTTTACATAAGAATTTAAGAAGCCTTATACACAGCTAGTGCCAGCAGGGCCAGAGTAAATTTGCACTAATTCTTAGTGTCTCTTGCCTGACAAGAATTCCCAGACAAGAGAGTGTGCAGCAGTTACCTGGTCCACTTGTTAAAAATGCAGACAGCTGAGTCTCTCCAACCTATTCAGTTTTAGCAGGTCTGGGGCTGCCTCCAAGTCTGTGATTCTGACAGGAGCCAAAGACCTAGAAAGCAAGCATCTTGGTGTTCTCTCCATGGCACGGAATACTGACTAGGGAAGTCTTCCTGGGTTCCTTCCTGTCTAGGTTAAAATCAGAGCTCAGATATGAGTGTAATGACAGTAAAAGGGTTGTTTAATGGACGAGTACAGTTGAGCCTTTTCTATTTTTGCCTTTTTGTAAGTGGTCTGGTAGTTGTTCTAGTTGATCCTCATGCCCAAAAACTGTCATCCAAACCGTGCTCTGAAATGGAGTTTCAGTTTTCTAATGAAGTTGACCTGATTTCTAAAATACTATCTACAAAAGTTTTCTTTCAGAATTTTTTCCCAGTGGCCAAGTCTAAATTATTCTTTTTAATTCTAGGTTTACAATAAATGTATTTAGACTAAGTAGGCTTCAGTACTTACAACACAGGTAATAGAAGGCTTGACTGTGCAGTCAAAAGTGACAGGCTTCCCATAGACACAGGAGGAATTTGTCTTGCATTCAACACAGTCGGCTGGAAGTCGGCTACACAAACCATTGCTTGGACACTTCGTCACATAAGGTAGAGTTTCAGTACTTTCTATGCAGGTGAAAGAGAAGCTTATTATCTTAAAATACTGGTCAGAATAACAGGAAAAAAAATAATAATTTTCTAAGGTTGACATGATCATTCGCAATGAGATGTATGCGGAAAGACAGTCTGTGCGGAGAAGATGGGGCATGTGACACATAACCAGCAAAGTACAGAATACCACTGCCTCACGATATAGCTAAAGACCCATGTAACTGCAAAAGTCTACTGGAAACTGGTAGAGAACTGAGATTCAAACCTTGAGAACTTTATTTCATTAAATACAAACTTACAACAACAACAACAAAAAAGTCCTATTGGAATTCTTACTCAAACATGACAGTGGTTGTTATAAGTAGTAAGGAATAAAAAGACGAGAAGCAATGAAGTGTGTAGGAGGGTGACCAATGTCTACTGGAGGAGTGGCATACTAGATGTGCCAGGTCCAGCCACTGGGTACAGGCAGGGTCATTAGGCTGCTGCTGTTTCAAGCATATATCTCCTTCATCCTTCAGCCTACACACTACCAAACACCTTATGTTCTATCGGGATGACTATGAATAGAACAGACAAGACCCTGTTCTAAAGAAGTATATTAGCAAAATTACCAGATATTGTGAAAAGAGCTATGATGAACTTAACAGTGGGCAATGAGGAAGATGTTTGCTTTAGCCAATGAAGTCTAAGGGAAGAATTCTTTGAGGAGGTAATAAATAAACCTGAAAACTGAGAGTAACAAATGTTCAACTATGAAAGGTGTTCAAGGCCCAGAGAAAATGAAGAATGAAGGACTTTAGGCAAGAAAGAGCTCAAAGGAACCTAGACTATGCAGAAAGTTTCTGTGGGACAGCACTCTGACTGTCTCTATGGAGGAAAAGGTGGTGGCTTAGGCTTGGAGATGGAGAAATGTAGGCGATTCACCTTGGTGGTATAGTGGGTTATGTGTTAGGCTGCCAACTGCAAGGCCAGCAGTTCAAATCCACCAGCTGCTTACCAGGAGAAAGATGAAGTTTCTATTCCCATAAAGATTTACAGTCTCAGAAACCCTCAACAGGGTTGCTATGAGTCCGAACCAAATTGATGGCACACAACCACCATGACCACCACAGAGAAAACTGATGAGACTTGCCAATAAACTACATGAGGGATTGAGGGAAATGGAAGAATCAGGACTTTGAGTCAAGCAAAATTAAGGAATAGAGCTTTTTTGTTGGTTTCATTGATTTAGAGAGTGGGGAGCAAAACTGTATTTTTGGTATATTAAATTAGAAACCAAAATGCCCAACATTTTTCAAGCTGAAAGAACTGTAGAAAAAACTCAAGCCCCAATTACAATACTGAAGGATTCTATGGACAAAATACTGAATGACATCGGAAACATCAAAAGAAAATAGAAGGACTATAGAGTCACTGTACCATAAAGGATTGGTCGATGTTCAATTATTTCAAGAGGTACCATATGATCAAGAACCAATGGTATTGAAGAGGTCCAAGCAGCACTGAAGGTATAGGAGAAAAACAAGGCTTCAAGAATTGATGTATAACAACGACAGCACTGAAAAGGACATTAGGAAAGCAATACCATTTACAATAACCACCCAAAGGGTGAAATATCTAGGAATACACGTAACCAGGGAAACAAAGAACCTATACAAAGAAAACTATAAAACACCACTACAAGACACCAAAGGAGACTTACAAAAATGGAAGAATATACCATGCTCCTGGATAGAAAGACTTAACATTGTGAAAACGTCAATACTGTCCAAAGCAATTTACACATATAATGCAATCCCAATCTAGATTCCAACAACACTCTTCAAAGAGATGGAGAAAACAATTACAAACTTTATATGGAAAGGAAAGAGACCCAGGAAAAGCAAAGCACTGCTTAAGAAGAATAAGGTTAGAAACCTCTCACTGCCTGATTTCAAAATTTATTACACAGCTACAGTGGTCAAAACAGCATGGTACTGGTACAACGAAAGATACATTGATCAATAGAACAGAATCAAGAATAAAGAAATTAACCCATTTACATACAGCCAACCGATTTTCGACAAAGTGCCTAACTGTATCATATGGGGAGTTGATAGTCTCTTCAACAAATGGTGTTATAGAACTGGCGAGCGATATGCAAAAGAGTCAAACAAGCCTTTTACCTCATGCCTTATACAAAAACCAACTCAGCATGGATTAAAGACCTAAATGTGAATCCCAGAATTATGAAGGCCATCAATGAAAAAATAGGG